ATTACAGGGGTCGTTGTGGCGGGCCACCCTGTCCAGAAAGGCATGGATGCCAATCTGGGGTCTCTCGACCGAGTCTGATTTCGCCTCGCCGCCTCCCCGATGGTGGTAAGGCTAGAGAGCCAAAGCGGCGGAGATGGCGGGGGAGGGAGGGGGATCGAGGAAAGCACGACTCGCACCGACCCTTCACGAACCGAAAGGCTGCACCCGGGGAGGGCACAGTAATCCGGGCACGTGTTGGGCGCCCCGTTCCGCGGTCTGGGGCTAGGTCGGCTCAGGGCCGCCCCATCCACTTCCCTCCCGCTTGGCGCGTGATGATGAGGTTGTCTGTTTTCTTTCTTTCCTATTTGCATGCACATGGACTAGAGAGAGCTCCTTATCAGCTGGTCGGCCGCCATGTGGGCCTCCGGGCCTGCTGCGGCGGCGCGGCCGGTTGAGGCCGGGCTCGGCCCGGCCCGCGACGGCTGGCCGCCGACGAGCGCGCTCGCGCTGCTCGTCAAGATGGCGGCGGTGGCGATTGCGGCGACAAAAGTTCAGGCGTACAGCGCTCAGGCGCCTGTCGTCTTTCGTCTTTTGTCGCATTTCGCACACCCGCGCGCTCCGCGAGGGCATGAGCCTTCCGCGATTCGATCCCGCAGCCAAAAGCTGCTCGCTCGAACCGCGGCCGACTCTGCCATCGCGGCCGCAGCTGTTGAGCTCTTCGCAGAAGACTGGTGCCTCATATGCTGCCTCCCTGCGGATGTCAGGCATTCGTGGCATCCGATGGGTCGCCCAGAGTATCGACCTCTGGCTTGTCAGTCGCGGTCACTTGATGACCCCCATGAAGTACAGCGATCGCCATCTCGCTGGCCTCTTCGCAGGCCCCCCCGACCGCGTCGAACTCATCGGCGCGGGCTCTCTCGGCTACGGGACCGGCCCCAGCTTCGGCTGAGGGCTAACAAGCTGCCGAGCCCAAATCACTGTGACAGTCGTGATTTCTTGTTGGTCTTTAAAAATCTCCGATTTCGTGACAGTGAGGCTGGCGGCTGGGCGAAAGAATTCCACCGTGCCTTTATTGCCGCAGCCGCTTCACACACACAGCTGCTCCTGTGGGAAGGGGGAAGATATTTACGTGCAGCACCGGTTGCCGCGCCGTTTTGCCAGTGTGCTGTGAGAGAGGCTTGTATCTTAAGAATTCTTCCCCGACACATGGGCAGTTGGCCTGCGGCTTCGCGCCAAAGAACTCGCGCCAGGCTTAGTCCCATTTTGGGCTCTCACACATCGACATGGCTCCCACCCGCGCCCTGCAGCGCAAGGTGTCGCAGCTCTTCCGCATGCGCGGCTGGCAGCTGCGGCCCGACGCCATGCAGCGGCTCTACGAGCTGCTGAACGGCGAGGACGACTGGGAGTGAGTGACGGCCACACAACGGCCCGTTCACCCTCGCCGGCAGGGCCCGACGTTCCGCCGCCCTCACGCCGCCGCCGTAGGTCCCAGCTCAACGTCCTCCTCCACGAGATCGAGCAGCTGCCGGGCGCGAAGGCCGACCGGTGCGTCGACAAGCCCATGGTCGAGCGCGTCTTTGCCGCCTCCTCCGCCGCTGCCGCCGCGCCGCCGCCCGACGACCCGGCGACACCGGAGCATCTTCTCTCACCGCCGACCGCAAAGCCGGGGCCGCCGCCAGCGTCGCACTTTGCGGTGGTTCGCGCGCGGGTGCGGCGGCTCTC